TAAAAAAAAAAGAAAGAAAGAAAAAGCACCGCACTGCCTTAAAAGAATCTAGATCATCATCATACCGAGGAAAGTGAAATACCAGAAGCAGAAAATAACTTCACCGTTCACATAACCAAACCCTAGTCCCTAGTCATTTCATTTAGCTCGCTTCCCTCCCCCACCACTTGATGCCCTATATACTTGCTGTCTGTTTCTCAAAAGCACATAGCTCTTGCTTAAACAGATAATTCAGCCATCTTGGTAACTTTATCCTAGAGTTTCTAATTGCATTTTCCCCTTATTTATTTTTAGTTTAGCAAGTTGTAGCTTTGGGGCTTGCTCCGTCTTGCATGGGATAGTCCTAGGATGCCAGCCAAGGTATCTGAACCCCACGCTCTGTGCAGCTGCCTCCTTTTCTTCCTTTAGTCTTAAATGACAACATCAGGTACAGGACATCCTGGCAGTCAGAGCCATTTTATTATTGTAATTATGGCACCATCCTTAATAGCCATGATAAATACACTCCACCCTTGTTACCCTTGGGGAAGAAATACTTTCTTTTTTTTTTAAAAAAAACCCACATATTTGGAGCCAAGCGGGTATGAGCAGAGCAATTCAGTATAATTCATGGCCACAGCAAGAACACAGAAGTCATGCTTGTTTTCCACGTTGATGTACTGTATTATTTTGCTGGTGGTTTTGGTAGAAGCCAGCACTTCCTTTTGAGACCTATTAGATCATACTTAGGGCAGAGGAGCACCTATGGGCAAAGGTTGGGAAGAACTACAGCAGTGCCTTGGCCTGGGGAGTTGACCCTGTAGCAGAGAGTCTCTCAGAACTGTAAAGTGCATCCATCCTGATCACATCTGTCCCCTCTTCTTGCTTCAGCAAACTACAAAGAACCAGTAGTCCAAAACGCAGCTGCGTACTTCCCAGAAAATTAAAATATCTGTGGTGTGTGACTTGGATGGTATTGACAAAAGAGGATCTATTTTTAAAACGTTGTCAGGGGCCAGATTTGGTCTGAAGGTATCGATAGAGGCTTTGGAAGAGCAAAGGAGATTGCAGGTATCTACCAACAGAGTGCATCAGACGTTTGGGATCCGAGGGCCAGCCAGCAGCAAATCCAGCACTACTGTGCGAGGGCTGTCGCTAACATCACAGTAAGTAGGTTAACTGTTTTTCCACTGCTCTCTAGTTATGCTGGATGGAGTGAACCTTTCCAAAAAAGACAGTAAGGAAGAAATCACTCCACCATATTTTAAAGGAAGAAATTGAAAGCGCAGCTCTGGCGGCCACAGGCACTTTCTCCTAGGCATTTCAGAGTGGATTTTTTTAACTCTACAGTGTCTGCTGTGTTGGAGAGGCAGGAGAGAGAAGGGGATCAGTGTGAATGCACTGGAGGTCAAAAGCTGCTTGCAGGCAGGCATGGGAAAGATCAGTGGTTCAGTTTTTACCACAAGTTGTTAGCGTTCAGTAACTGACTACGACCCAAGTATTACAAATATGCTCTAATTATACTCATAGTCAGCAATATATCACTACAGATCGCTGATAGGTCTTCGTGGGGCATTTTGTAAAGTTCAGACTAAATATTTTTAGCAATGAGGAGATTTAAAAGGAAAACTATAAGAGATATTGTATATACCCTAAGGCATATTTTGTCTTAAATATTATCCTTGGCCAACTGTACTGTATAAATACAGTAAATATGAATAGAACTGGCAAGATGCCAATCTCCTGGGATGAATTTTAGTCAAGAAGGTATTTATGGGATATAAATAATACTGTGTCAACATTTAAAGAAGGGATCTGATTAGTTTTGAAATTATTCATATTAATCTTTTCACATGCTGTTAATTTAAGGCTCAAACTAAAGTTGTGCTAAGGTTTACTGATAGTTTGCACTGAGGAAATAAGGGGGCATCTGGCTTGAGAGTCCACTTGAGCTTAAGGACACATCGGGATATAGGTGGAAATTCAGCGAGTCAGGGACTGCCTGACCCAAAAGCAACAGATGCAAAAGAAGTGTCAGAAAAAAATACTACAAAGACATTTGGAAAAAACAGAAAGCTTTAGTCTGTCAAGGATGCCTTGTGCTCAGGACAGTATGCATCTGTATGAGTCTGAATCTCTCCTAAGTGGCAGCCAGAATTTGAGGTTTTTCAGAGCAGTTCAAAGAGGAAGGTTGAATATGGTGTTCTCTGAGCACAACATCAGAGAATTCTTGGGAATTTTGTGCCTAGGCAAAGTTACCTGAGTGAATGCTTACAACTGGTTACTGTGAGTGCTGGATCACATTAGAAGCTTATTACTTACCAGTTCTTCATTGAATATCTAGGGCCTAATACTTAAGTTAGGTGATGATTGCCATTTCACTGAGAGTAAACAGAAATTTAATGCCAACACTATTAAGGATTGTGAATTGTAGTGCTAATGAATAACGGGCATACTTGAGAAAAACAGGCAACATGTGTATCTGGAGGCAAAGGCCCATTCAGTCATCTTCATTCAAAGCAACTTTTACCACAGACAGTGAACTGGTTTGTAGTGATAGCTTAAGGCCAATGCAGGTAAATTTTGAAGTTTTCTGCATTCTTGAGGATAGGTTTGTCAGTACTCATTAGCCTAAGAAAAAGCAGTTCTTCTGGGTTTGGGCCTCATTCTTCATGAGTTTTAAGCTACCTTAAAGGTGTGTGAAGGAGCCTCCATGGCTTCCATCCTGCACTGATGGTCAGGATTAGTCTTCTCAGGAGCTCTGTCCCATGAATATTGCTTTGCGTAGGCCATCGTTCTGCTGAATATTTGCCCCATGAAAGACAACATTATAAGCTGGCAGGGCACAATGGCATGCTTCTACTTTATCAACAAGGACTCAATTTACCAGCAATTACACATATGTGGGTTCCTTGTCTTCAGAACTGCTCCTGCAGACGGCTCCCAGCACTGACTGCATCATTACCACAATGTTAACAGCTCACCTATGTTTGCATTTAGCACGACACAGAGTCTAATCTGTCAGGTTTTTCCCCGTGTTATTAATGATATGGAAACAGACTCGGGAGGAACAACTTATTTTAAAACTTTCTAGCTATGCTGGACCTATGATTGTGCTCTGGAGCACGTCTTGTAGGAGGAGGTGTTTGCCAGGCATACTCTCTGCATTACAGAGAGCACCTGAAGCTATGTGAAGTCTTCCCCAAGGAGAGACACGGGGGGAACAGTTCTTTATTCCTTAAGGAATGACACTTAATGCAATTTTCATAGGTGGAAAACCCCAGGAAATTCCATATGGCTTTAGAAAAGGCACAGGATAATTTTCTAGACAGTAGTCCTCTACATACTGAGAGGGATAATAAAATAACATGCTCTGGTGCACTAATGAAGGGCAGCACCACATGTGCTTCCTGCCTGGCTTCTGAATCACCAGCCACTTTTACTATAAGCAGGGTGCCAAGCTGGGGAGCAGTGGGGGAAGGTCCAAGAGCCAGTCTGGAATGATACATGGTCCTTGAGTTTCTTCTGGAGGATGAAGCCTGCAGAAATGCTAAACACGCATGACCCCCATCTTTAACACTGCATGGTCAGATGAACTACAAGACAGGGCTATATTTCCAAGTCCTTTCCATAGCCCTCCTGGAATTTCTCTCTTGTGTCTGTTTTAAAGAGGCAGTTTTCACTGTAGTTTGGTGAGTGAGAAAGTTTGACAGAACAATGGAATCATTTAGGTTGGAAAAGACTTTTAATGTCATCTGAGTATAACTGTTAACCTATCACTGTGAAGTTCACCACTAAGCCTTGTGCCTGTGTGCCACACATATACTTTTAAATACCTCCAGGGATGGTGACTCAACCACTTCCCTGGGCAGCCTGTTCCCTGTGCTTAAAAGCCCTTTTGGTGAATATGCAGCAGTGCCCCTGCTGCTCCCCACCCTCCAGCCCTTGACAGTGTGAATGTTTTATAGTCCCAGAGACCTTTCTGGAAATCTGCCCTTGTCTTCTGCTGTGTGGCTGGAGATGTGCAGGGAGTGCCCAGAGCTTGTGCTCTTCTTGCTGGCTGTACTTGCAGGACTAGTATGAGTAGGTGATTGAGTGAGGAAAGC